TAAAAAAAACAAAAACAAAAAACAGGCTGGGCACAGTGGCTCACGTCTGTAATCCCAGCACTTTGGGAGGCTAAGGAGGGCAGATTAGGAGGTCAGGAGTTTGAGACCAACCTGGTCAACATGATGAAACCTCGTCTCTACTAAAACTACAAAAATGAGCCAGGTGTGTTGGCAGGCACCTGTAATCCCAGCTACTAGGGAAGCTGAGGCAAGAGAATGGCTTGCACTCGGGAGGCGGAGGTTGCAGTGAGCTGAGATTGCACTATAGCACTGCAGCCTGGATGACAGCGCAAGACTCCATTATGGAAAAAAGAAAGAAAACTGACAGGCTACAGACCACCCTAAGCATCTAAATTATTTACATATTTGAACTCCAGGCATGGCAGGGAGATGGGAGCAAAATCCAGACAGGAAGAAAAGCCACTCAACAAGAGACAAACATGGTTAAGTCACCAGATGCTTTAACCGAGTTTTCAACAACTGCATGTTTCCTTCTATCTACTCAGCTTCTGAGTCCAAAATTGGAAGTCATGGTTGAGAAACTTTTCTTTGCCTAAAAAGCTGGTGGGAGGAGGAGGGAACAGAAGAAGATTGTTTATTATTGCATTTTTCTTCATTTGTTAGAATGAATGACGTGCTCATTATAAACTTTTTAAACAATATTAGAAGGTTATCATGTTGAAAGTGGAGTACTTAACTGTCCCATCTGCCCCTCTCAGCCCAGTGCTCCTCCCAGCACTGCTCACGATTTACAATGCATGTTTTATTTATTTATTTATGAGATGGAGTCTCACTCTGTTGCCCAGGCTGGAGTGCAATGTTGTGATCTCTGCTCACTGCAACCTCTGCCTCCTGGGTTCAAGCAATTCTCCTGCCTTAGCCTCCCGAGTACCTGGGATTACAGGTGCCATGCCCAGCTACTTTTTGTATTTTTAGTAGAGATGACGTTTCACCATGTTGACCAGGCTGGTCTCGAACTCCTGACCTCAAGTGATCCACCTACCTTGGTCTTCCAAAGTGCTGGAATTACAGGCGTGGGCCAATGCGCCCAGCCAACATGTATTTTTTTAAAAACACAAATAAGATCACACAGAACTACGCTATTCTGTGACTTGCTTTTTTTTCCCCCCCTACCTACCTCATGGTCTTTTCCACAGATATAGTTCAATCTCATTTTTTTAAAGGTTCCATGTATACCACAATATGGATCTACCAACATTTACTTAACCATGTGGCCCAGTAATAGAAACTTAGATTATTCCCAGTTTTTACTTTTCTTCTTTTATTTTTTTGAGATAGGGTCTCACTCTGTCACCCAGGCTAGAGGGCAGTGGCACAGTACTGGCCCTGCAGCCTTGAACTTCTGGGCTGAAGCAATCCTCCTGCCTCAGCCTCCCAAGCAGCTAGGACTACAGGCTTGCGCCACTGTATCCGGCTAATTTTTTAATTTTTCTTTTTTAGACATGTGGTCCTACTATGTTGACCAGGCTGGTTTCGAACTGCTGGCCTCCAGCAATCCTTCCACCTCGGCTTCCCAAAATGCTGGGATTTACAGGTATGAGCCATCATGCCCGGTCTAGTTTTTGTGATGTTGGAAATATTTCAGTGAACATCCTTATATGTACACTTCAGTATTTCTGTTAGATTATTGCTATATTCTGAACGTGTCACCCCGAAAGTCATATGTTGAAACCTAATTTCCAGTGTGATGATATCTGGAGGTGGGAACTTTGGGAGATGATTAGGTCGAAAGGGTGGATCCCTCATGAATGGGATTAGTGCCCTATAAAAGGGATTTCAGAGAGCCCCCTCACGTCCTTTGCCATGTGAGACCACAAGAATAAGCCTGTCTATGAACAAGGAAACAGGCCCTTCTAGACCATGAACTCACTGGCGCATTGATCTTGGACTTCCCAGCCTCCAGAACTGTGAAAAATCAATGTGGCTTGAGCCATCCAGCCTGTGGTATTTTTGTTACAGCAGCCTGAGTGAACTAAGACAATTATGTTTAGAATTGTTGTTAAAGGCGGAACTGCCAATATATTTACCACCCAAATCTAAAGGCAACTCCCATTTTCTAAGAAGCAGCTTTGCCATCTATTCCATGGCTTTGGCTGATTCTCAAAACTTAGGGTGCCTTAGAATTACCTGGGAAGCATAAACAAACAGACACCCAGGTTCTACCAGATTCAACAAGGATTGGGCCCTCGTCTTTTTTTCAGACAGGATCCCGCTCTGTCACCCAGGCTGCAGTGCCGCGGTGCAATTTCAGCTCACTGCAATCTCTGCCCCTCGGGCTCAAGTGATCTTCTCACCTCAGCCTCCCGAGTAGGTGGGATTACAGGCATGTGCCCTACACTTAGCTAATTTTTTGCATTTTTAGTAGAGATGGGGTTTCACCATATTGCCCAGGCCGGTCTCAAACTTCTGGTCTCAAGCGATCTGCCCGCCTCGGCCTCATGATTACAGGCGTGAGCCAGTGTGCCTGGACTTTTACTGCTTATGTTGTTGACTTTAGTTGTTTGGGGGCAGCTCTCAGGTACTGCCCTAACTGGTACACGACAGAAGCCCTAACACATTTCCTGTCCTATGGTGGAGATGTACGATTTTAGCTCAGGGATAAGCGGTTGGAACAATGCATTTGTTCTGTGTGCCCTCTGCTGGTACTGCGTGAGCAGTATCTGGCATCTCACCTCCAAAGGCAAGCCCTTGTAGACTTAACAGCGTGGTGAGACTTCAAGGGCAATGATGGTCAATCCTGGCTGCATATTAGAATCACCCAGGGAACCGTGATAATGGAAATGCCTGGTCATGAGCTTTGACAATGGGGTTTTAAAAACACTCTCCAGGAGATTCTACAAATAAGCCAGTGTTAAGAACCTATTCTTTAGGCAGAAAATTGGCCCAGGAACACAGAAGCACGTATCACCCTGGTGTCTTCTGTTCTAGTTGTTTATTTCAAAATTCCCAGCCTGCCTAAATCTCAGAATTGGCTTCAAGTGGGTCAAAAAGACAAATCCTGGGAACCTACCCCAGACATAATCAGAATATCCCAGGGTGGGACTCACTCAGGGCATTTCTCACAACTAGCCCAACAAAGAGAGAATTTCTGGTTTCAATGAGATTAGGGTGAAATCATTATGAATTCTTAAGACATTTTTTAGCCACAGGCTGTATGTCTTCATGGGAAAAGGATTCACAATCACTGAAGGAACTGATAGGCAGGTGAAGGTAAAGTGTAGAAGGAATGAACAGCCATGTGTAACTGCTGTGTACGTGTCTCTTCTATATAATTGAATCTTCACTATACTTCTTGAGCAGAAATAGTACAACCCGTTATACAGGGAAGACACTGAAGGGAAGGCAGTTAGTTCTCTTTGCAGGTATCCAGGGAGAAAGCTTTCCAGGCAGATGAACTGTCAATGCAAAGACTTTGAGGCTGGATCATCCTTGATTACTGGAGAACAGCAAGGCCAGCATGACCTGGGGAAATGATCTCCACAGAGTTGCAGATGAGGGAGGAAAGGGGAGGGCAGATTAGGCCATCAACCTTCACAGCAGAGTGAGGCAACTGTATTTTTAAGGATCACTTTGACTGCTGTAAAAACAGACTTGAGTAAGGCAAGGATGCAAGCACAGGACAGAAGCGTCACAGTGAAAGGCCGGGTGCAGTGGCTGATGCCTGTAACCCCAGCACTTTGAGAGGTCAAGGCAGGCGGATCACCTGAGGTCAGAAGTTTGAGACCAACCTGACCAACATGGAAAAACCCTGTCTCTACTCAAAATACAAAATTAGCCAGGCATGGTGGCACATGCCTGTAATCCCAGCTACTTGGGAGGCTGAGGCAGGAAAATTGCTTGAACCCTGGAGGCAGAGGTTGTTGTAAGCCAAGATTGTGCCAATGCACTCCAGCCTGGGCAACAACGAAACTCCTTCTCAAAATAAAAAAGATCTATTTGTTAGGTATATCTGGCTACAGTTAAAAAAAATGAAAGGCTACGCAATAAAATATTGTTACTGACTCTTGAGTGGCAACATCACAAAGGTCACGCCTTCCTTCCTCTTTACTGTTACAAATTGTATAATGAACATATTAATTATGCAGAGCAGCGTATATAACTGGCTTTAGTTTATAAAATAGTGTTCCAGCATACGGTCTGTCTGGCTTTATTACACTGCAGGGCCATCCAAAACAAGAGTCTCTAGACCTCTGGGTGGGATTTCGTGCTCACCTGGATGACATCTCTGCTCGCTGATGTGTAGTTAACAGTCCCTTCTGGCTGTCCCTTCTGCTGCTGGACATGTGAGGGGACACAGCACAGAGTTCTAGAAGTCCCTACTGACTGCTCAAAGCCTTTCTCCATGCTGAAACCTCTGTACAAATGCTTAATATCTGCTCTGGGCTGTTGAGTCTGCAACAATTTTGATATTTATTGTTTATTCCCACACCCATCCCATGAAACAAACAGGACTTGCCATTTTATAGATGGAGGTTCAAAGAGGCTCAATAACCTGCCCCAGGACAAGTAACAGAACTGAGACTTCTGACTCCAAATCCTACACTCCCCCGCCACACCTCTTTGCCTTCCCACTTCACAGCAATGGACTCTCTGGGTGACATTGGCATAGGTTCCTTTAATAACTGGCTCCTAACAGAAACTTCTGGCCATTATCTGACTCAATGTCACACACAAGTGCTATGAGAACTTGTACTTAGCCGGGTGCGGTGGCTTACACCTGTAATCCCAGCACTTTGGGAGGCCGAGGCAGTCAGATCACGAGGTCAGGAGTTTGAGACCAGCCTGGCCAACATAATGAAACCCCGTCTGTACTAAAAATACCAAAAAAGTTAGCCAGGTGTGGTGGCACCTGTAGTCCCAGCTACTCAGGAGGCTGAGGTGGGAGAAGTGCTTGAACCTGGAAGGCAGAGACTGCAGTAAGCCGAGATCGCGCCACTGCACTCCAGCCTGGGGGAAAGAGCGAAGTCCATCTCAAAAAATGAAAAGAAAAAAAAAAAGAACTTGCATTTAGAGCCTTTTTCCTAAACCTGGACACCAAATCTCACCTTGTAAATTTCTACATCACAAAACACATGTTCCCAGGTGTCCAGGCAAAGTCTCCAAGTACTCAATCCCCTTTCTTCAACCTTGCGCACACCCTCGGCCTTCCTGTCAATCCAGGCAACCCAGGGTTACCCAGAGGTCCAGCTCCCAGTTGTTCACTTTAATGTCTGCAGCGCCCCAAACACCTGTATGAAACACTCTTTGTCCAGGATGCGACCATGGCGCAGGGTGAAGTAGAAGGTCTGTTTCCCACTGTATTGCTGGATACGCATGAACAGCTCCTCAGGACCGTCCTTGGTTTCCGTCAGGGGTATCACATCTTCCACAGGACAGTATGTGTCCTGCCGCCAGCCCCAGAAGTTCAGGTGGGCCACCCGCAGTATGGTGCCAGACTCGTTGAGATACAGAATGCCAACCAGTCTCCGAAGGAAATAGCTCATCCAGCAGAGCATGGCCAGAGCAAAGCATGACACCCCATTCATGATGCAAAGGGACTTGAGAGTCAGGAGGCCCTGGGAGTACCAGTAATAGCCTGGTGGCAAAGCTATCACTGTCAGGGCAGTCTGTGCCAACTTCAGTCGAGACAGGTACCCGAAGGATTTGATGGCATCAAAACGGTAAAACATCCGGAATTTCTCAGTCTCTGCGTCTGGTAATTTCTCCTTTGAGGTGGGTGACGTGCTGCTTCCCAGCCACCTCTTAGGATCCTCCTGCCCACTGCAGCACCACAGCCCATGGAGAGGCCGTCCCCACGCAGTTTTTCCCGGAAACCTAGGCACAGCTCGGAGAAGCGCAGCCTGAAAGGGAGATAGCAGACCATTTCTCTCATGGAACTCAACCACATTAATCACACAGTGAACATCTGCAAAGCATCTTACTCCAAGGCTTTCGCCAATCCTGCAACTTCACCATTATTGCCAGAAAAGGGAAGGGTAAAGCCAGATGCTATCTCATGTGAGCAACACAACAGCTACCTAAGATAGGTATCCCTATTTCCACTTTACCACTAGGGAAACTGAGCCCAGAGAGGGTAAAATATATACCCAAAACACAGTCAGTGAGTGCAGTAGAGTCCGACTCTCAAACCGGGCCTCCTTTCACCAGGCAATTCCAAATACAGGAAAGGAGGTACAGCCTTCATTAATTCAAAACATATCTAAGGAGGGCCAACTCTGGGCTGGACAATGGATCCACAAGGGGTTGTGAACATTTCCCGAAGCAGGAAACTAAATAATCAGTGTCTTAGTGGGGAACTCGAGCAACAAATCTGTGAGATATGTATCCCAATAACTTTCCAATTCTGTGTGATTTATACGTCATCTTGGGTGCTAGAGGACACTGCTGTTTTCTTAGCCTAGTCTGGGGAAGCGGAAATAGCAGAGGAGGAGGAGTGAGGCAGGGAGGCCCCAACACATAGCACAAGGATATTAGGTGAGTAGTGAGGCAGTAAAAGTTCTGGTTCCGGTTCTGGCTCCAACAGTCACTGCCTATGGATTCTTGAGCAAATTACTTCCTTCACACCCGTGAGCTTCCGTTTCTTCACCTTTCAAAATGGGGACTCAGAACACAGTGAACGAGAAGATGGTTTTAGAGCCCTCAACTTAGTACCTGACGCACTGTGAGAGCTTGGCCAGTTTTAGCGAGTACTACTGCTGCGCACGTGACCCAAGGAGGGCAGAGAAAGCCGGGGAATGGCGAAGCGTAACCCACGCTGGAGCCTCCTACTAGGGATTCTCCGAGTCCGAAAGTCAGGCGTCTTGCCTGCCTGCCCCAGCCCTGACCCCGATCCCCAAAAAACATCACCCCCACAAGGCTCGTCACCCGCCTCCTTACCATTGTCCCACCGCCTGCTGCCGGAAGTAAATGCCACCGGCCCCCGGAACCTCTCAGAGGGCATGCTCGAACGTACAAGGCGGGCGTGACCGCATTGCACTCTGGGATTTGCGGTCCAGGAATCGTGGCTGGCGCTAGTCCCAGGCATTGTGGGAGCCGAGTCTGCTCTTCCCGACGTGCCCTGCAGCTCGGGAGCCGAACCCGGAAGTTCCGGGCCGAGCTCCGGATGCCAACGAGTCTCGTAAGGTGCGGCTAGAAACTGGGGACATGGCAGCGCCCGGCCCAGCGCTCTGCCTCTTCGACGTGGATGGGACCCTCACCGCTCCGCGGCAGGTAAGTGGCGCCCGGCGGGCTGGTAGCAGCCGACCCGGAGCCCGTGCTGTTCCCAGTTGAAGTTATCAACCATTCACGGTGGGCGCCAAGGGGTACCTGAGGACCGCAGAAGTGTTCACGGGGGCTGAACACTATTCTGGGTGTCCTGGAGAAATGCAAGTGAAGCCCTGACCAGCTCTTCAAGAGCTCTTGGTGCTTGGAGAGATGAGACGGGGCTGAAAAACTCAAGAAACTTGTGCTGGGTTGGAAAATGCAATCTGGACTCACCGCTGGTCCTCGGGACTGATGGACCAGGATTTGTATCCGAGATCAAGCCCCCTTATCAGCTATGTGACATTCTCAGTCCTGAAACCAATGAGCTGTGCCGTGAATAATATTTAAAAAAGGTTTCCAGATCAAACAGATCTAGTGGAGTCTCGTCTTCACCTCTTGACAGCTGTGTAACCTTGAGCAAGTCATTAACTTCTCTGAGCCTCAGCATCTACCGCCCCATTGCACACTAGCCTGGGAGACTGAGTTTCGCTCTTGTCTCCCAGGCTAGTGTGCAATGGGGCGATCTTGGCTCACTGCAACCTCCGCCTCCCAGGTTCAAGCAATTCTCCTGCCTCAGCCTCCGAAGTAGCTGGGATTGCACGCACCTGCCACCACGCCCGGGTCCTGCCTCAGCCTCCCAAGTAGCTGGATTGAAGGCACCTGCCGCCACGCCATGCTAATTTTTATATTTTTAGTAGAGACAGGGTTTCGCCATGTTGGCCAGACTGGTCTCAAATTCCTGACCGCAGGTGATCCACTCGCCTCAGCTTCCCAAAGTGCTGGGATTACAGGCATGAGCCACCATGCCTGACCTCATCTTCAGCTTTGAATGGGAATATTACCCCCTGTGCCATATGGTGTCTGTGAGGTTCAGGTGAGATTGCATAAATTCTTGAAGTTATATTGCCTGTAACACACTAGGCCTCAATAAACAGCCACCTCCACCACACCCATCTCCAGCCCCTGCAGTGGACTCGGGAGATGGAGGACCCCTAGGTTATTAAAGGCTGCCTCCTGAGACCCTCTTTAGGGCCTTGGAAACTTGCTTTCCACTTCCAGATATTGCTGCTACAGGCACAGATAAGTTTCAGTTACGATCAGCCTTGAGATGAGGCTCTTCTGTCCGCTTTTGAGAACTTGGTCACTGCACACCAGCCATTTGAACTTGACACTGGACCCCAGTGGCCTCACTGTCCTCACCTACCCTCATCCCTTGTAGTTTTTCGCTTGTGGTAACGCTGGTGTGCTCCAGAAGTCCACGTAAAATGCCTGTGACCTTAGACATATCAATTGCACTTCTCAGCCACAGGTTTGATCCACCTAGTGCTGACACCCCCAAGTTCCTCAACAGCTTTTACTGCCTCTGAGATTCAGCAGTCACACACTTGTGGGTTGTTAAAAGCCCATAGTGCAGGTCGGGCATGGTGGCTCACATCTGTAGTCTCAGCACTTTGGGTGGCTGAGGCAGGTAGATTGCCCGAGCTCAGGAGTTCACAACTAGCCTAGGCAACACGGTGCAAACCCGTCTCTACTAAAAAAAAAAATTACAAAAAATGAGGTGTGGCCGTGTGCGCCTGTAGTCCCAGCTACTTGGGAGGCTGAGGCAAGAGAATTGCTTGAACCTAGGAGGTGGAGGTTCAAGTGAGCCAAGATCATGCCACTGTACTCCAGACTGGGAAACTGAGGGAGACTCTGTCTCAAAAAAAAAAAAAAAAAACCATAGTCGTCTAAAACTGCAGTCCCTAATTCATTTTTTGTAAAGGGTCATATAGCGTATCCTTTTGTCTTTGCAGACCATATGGTCTATAGTAACCACTCAGCTTTAGTGCACAACCGGCCATAAACCCTATAAAAACCAATCTGGCCAACATGGCGAAACCCCGTCTCTACTCCGGGCATGGTGGCAGGTGCCTGTAATCCCAGCTTCTAGGGAGGCTGGGGCAGGAGCTGGCCGTGGCGGCAGGTGCCTGTAATCCCAGCTACTTCAGCGGCTGAGGCAGGAGCAATAAAATTTTATTTATTTATTACAAAAACCAACAGCTGCCCAATTTGGTCTGTGGGCCATTGTGGTCTAGGATTTACATTGCCAACTCTTTTTCATGGTATCACTGGACCCTCTCAGCCTTCCTCCATCTTTCTTCCCAGGTAGGATAGTTGTTATTGCTATTGTAAACATAAGGAAACATACCCAGTGAAGACCTAACCTCCTCAGTTTTACACAGCCAACCTTGTACAAGTCCCTGGGCCTCAGGACATTGGTTCTTGTCAAGTTTGCCATTTCCTGTCCATGCTAAGGTGTGGAAGCTGTTCTAGTCAGTGGGTATGCCATTCAGGAAAGTGTTTCTGACTTTCTGATTTTCACAGTTCTAGCTTTTTTTTTTTTTTTTTTTTTTTTTTTTGAGAGGGAGTCTAGCTCTGTTGCCCAGGCTAGAGTGCAGTGGCACGATCTTGGCTCACTGCAACCTCTGCCTCCCGGGTTCAAGTGATTCTCCAGCCTCAGCCTCCCAAGTAGCTGGGCTACAGGCGAGGGCCACCACGCCCATCTAATTTTTGTATTTTTAGTAGAGACAGGGTTTTACCATGTTGGCCAGGCTGGTCTCTATTTCCTAACCCCAGGTGATCTGCCCACCTCAGCCTCCCAAAGTGCTGGGATTACAGACATGAGCCACTACATTCTGAGTCTTAAAGACTACTCCTAGATTTTGTCCAATAGGTCCAGATTCCACTGTGAGAGGTAGAAAAGATTACACTCTATTACAAACCTGTCAGTACAAGTTTATTTTAATCAAATTCATGTATTACTCTTAAAAAAATTTTTAATCATTGGACTCCAAGTATTTTTATACTGAGGTTGAATTAAATGGTTTTTTGTATTTTCTAAATTTCTAGTAACTTTTTAAAAGAGATACTCAGCCGAGCGCCATAGCTCATGCCTGTAATACCAGCATTTTGGGAGGCCGAGGTCAGGAGTTTGAGACTAGCCTGGCCAACATGGTGAACCCCTGTCTCTACTAAAAATACAAAAAAATTAGCCAAGTGTGGTGATGGGCACCTGTAATCCCTGCTACTTGGGAGGCTGAGGCAGGAGAATTGCTTGAACTGGGGAGGTGGAGGTTGTAGTGAGCTGAGACCACCCACTGCATTCTAGCCTGGGTGACAGAGCAAGACTTCGTCAAAAAAAAAAAAAAAAAAAAAAAAAAAAGACATTCAACGTAAATGTACCACTAAGATTGCTCAAAGTACTGAGTTATAAGACTTGTAAAAATACCTAGAGGGGAGGGTCAGTGGGGGGGGGAAGTTGGGGAGGGATAACATGGGGAGAAATGCCAGATAGAGGTGATGGGGGGAATGGAGGCAGCAAACCGCATCGCCATTTATGTACCTAGGCAACAGTCCTGCATGATCTGCACATGTACCCCAGAACCTAAAATACAGTTAAAAAATTGTGATGTGTCTTAATGTAGGGCTATTTTTTCATCTTAGTGTACAACTTTTTAAAAATTACCACACAGTCTGGAGTTTACTGTAAGATTATACCATTAAGATCACTCTTTCTAGATAGGAGCTTTGCTTTTAGAAGAAACTAAAAATTCTAGTCATCTCTTACATTTTTTTGTTTTGGGCAATAAATCAGTTCTGAGCTTCCTCTTTAATCACATTATGTTATTTTGTTTTAAAATCAACAACTTGGGCCAAGCACTGTGGCTCACGTCTGTAATCCCAGCACTTTGGGAGGCCGAGGTAGGCAGATCAGGAGGTCAGGAAATAGAGACCATCCTGGCCAATATGGTGAAACCCTGTCCCTACTAAAATACAAAAGAAATTAGCCGGGTGTGGTGGCACTTGCCTATAGTCCCAGCAACTCTGAAGGCTGAGGCAGAGGAATTGCTTGAACCTGGGAGGCAGAGGGTACAGTGAGCCGAGATCTTGGCACTACTCCAGCCTGGCAACACAGCAAGACTCCGTCTCAAAAAAAAAAAAAAAAAATTAAACCCGTAAGTGGTGTATAGTTTAGCATTTAAAAGGAAGGATGAGGTAGATCTGTGTTGGCATGAAAAGATCACCACTACATAGTGCTAAGAAAGCAAGTCACTGCACAGTACATAGGATGATTCCATTTATGTTTCAATAATAAGACCTATTTCTATACGTGCCCATAGATGGGTATTATAAATGCATAGAAAAATAACTGGGACATTGCAAAACAGCTACTAATCTATTACCTGTGTGTTCAAAGTTTGGCAAAAAAACACAAGTTTATTCTGGTAAAAATGCCTCTAAATTACAACTGAAATATTTGAACTGTGTACATTGCTGGTAACTGAATTGGCATGTATGAAAATAAGGCTTGTAGGCCTGGCTTATGCTTGTAATCCCAGCACTTTGGGATGCCAAGGTTGGCAGATCTCCTGAACCCGAGTTCCAGACCGGCCTGGGCAACATGGCAAAACTTCGTCTCTACAAAAAATTTAAAAAGTAGCCAGGTATGATGGCACATACCTGTGGTCCCAGCTACTCAGGAGGCTGAGGTAGGAGGATCGCCGGAGCCCAGGGAAGTCGAGGCTGCAGTGAGCTATGACCATACCACTGCACGCCAGCTTGGGTGGCAAGTGAGACCATATACCAAAAACTTTTTTTTCTTTAATTTTTAAATAGAAAGATAAAACTTGTGTAATTGTGTTACCCTTAGGGTTTTAGTCACCTGATTATTTTGTGGCTAATGACTGTTGTATTTTCCTTCTTGAAATTTAGAAAATTACCAAAGAAATGGATGACTTCTTGCAAAAATTGAGGCAGAAGATCAAAATCGGAGTGGTAGGCGGGTCGGACTTTGAGAAAGTACAGGAGCAACTGGGAAATGATGGTGAGTGATAGGTTGCTGATTATACCTGGTAAAACGTTAACTTCTTATCAGGATGTTGTGGCTGAATATCATAGGCTGCCCTGAATTCTTGTTCCCATATGACAGACTTTCTGCTTCCTTGTTTGGGAAACATTTTCGTTTTTTATTTTTATTTTTTTTTATTTTTGGAAACATTTTCTTCATCTTTATTTTTTCTCTGCTTTTAATCCAGTAAATTTCAAGAGTTACTGATGGAGAACTGGGTACTCAGATGTGTGAGTAGATTCACCTAGGAAGGTCAGCTGCTGTGTCTTTGCACATGGTAATCTCTCTGCCTGGAATAATTCTTACTTGTACCCATTCAGTGTCCTTCTAGCCCTAGTCTGACCGGTCTTCATATTGTCCCTCTGACAGCCTCTCTCACCTCCCCACCACTGGAACAGAATTGCCAGCACAGGATCCTGGAAAACTGGAGAAGCTTATTGACCCCTTTACTGGAGATACTGACTTGATAGGTCTATTGGCCTGGGAATCCTATCTTAGCAAGTACCTCTGAGAGATTCTAGTGCACAACCCTGCTAATGTAGCATTCTGTAATTATTGCACACTATCTGATGATACGTTTTTGAAGAGCAGGAGTATGCATTATTCATCTCCATAGCCCCAGGACCTCTTGGCCTATAAGAAATTATAAGTGGGTCGGGCGTGGTGGCTCACGCCTGTAATCCCAACACTTTGGGAGGCCAAGGTGGGCAGATCACAAGGTCAGGAGATCGAGATCATCTTCACTAACATGGTGAAACCCCGTCTCTACTAAAAATACAAAAAATTAGCCGAGTGTTGTGGCATGAGCCTGTAATCCCAGCTACTCGGGAGGCTGAGGCAAGAGAATCACTTGAACCCAGGAGGCGGAGGTTGCAGTGAGTCAAGATTGCACCCCTGCGCTCCAACCTGGGCAACAGCGAGATTCCATCTCAAAAAAGAACAAAAAATAGTAAGTGCAGAGGTGGATGAATTGATTGTTCTTTTATCCCCCATTGTCCCCAGAGTTCTCACATCTTGGAACCAGCTCCTCTAGAGCAAGATTTCTCAACCTCCGCACTATTGATACTTTGGACCAGTTAGGGCTGTTCTGTGCTTTGTAGGGTATTTAGCAACATCCCGGGCCTCTACCCACTACATGCCCGCAGCATACATACATGCACACATACAGCTGTGACAACCAAAAATGTCTCCAGACATTGCCAAATGACCTCCTTGTAAAATCACCCCCATTTGAGAACTACTATTGTAAATATCGTTTTTTTTTTTGGTTTTTTTTTTTTTTTTTTGGAGACAGAGTTTTGTTCTTGTTGCCCAGGCTAGAGTTCAGTGGAGCAATCTCAGCTCACTGCAACCTTTGCGTCTCAGGTTCAAGCAATTCTCCTGTTTCAGCCTCCCAAGTAATGGATTACAGGCATGTGCCACCATGCCCGGCTAATTTTGTATTTTTAATACAGACAGGGTTTCTCCATGTTGGTCAGGCCAGTCTCAAACTCCTGACCTCAGGTGATCCACCGACCTCAGCCTCCCAAAGTGCTGAGCTTACAGGCGGGAGCCATTGCGCCTGGCCTGTAAATATGATATCTTACAGTCCAAATTTGTGTAGACTGTATTTACTGGATCATCATTACTAGAAGACTTAACTCTGCAATCCCTTTGAAACTCTCTGTTACATTTCCACTCCGTTTCCCCTGTAGGTCTCCTACTTAGAAATGCTGTAAACCATATACTGGGGATCATGAAGCCCTAAGAATCCTGTCCCCTGCCCAGGATCACTCCTTCTGCATCTAGATTTCTTTTTTTTTTTTTTTTTTTTTTTTTGAGACGGAGTTTCGCTCTTGTTACCCAGGCTGGAGTGCAATGGCGCAATCTCGGCTCACCGCAACCTCCGCCTCCCAGGTTCAGGCAATTCTCCTGCCCCAGCCTCCTGAGTCGCTGGGATTACAGGCACGCACCACCATGCCCAGCTCATTTTTTGTATTTTTAGTAGAGACGGGGTTTCACCATGTTGACCAGGATGGTCTCGATCTCTTGACCTCGTGATCCACCCGCCTCGGCCTCCCACAGTGCTGGGATTACAGGCTTGAGCCACCGCGCCCGGCCTGCATCTAGATTTCTATTTAACCACTTGCTCAGGGAAGTTTTGTGTCAGCGTAACATAGTGTCTGCACCTTTCAGAGACACGCAACAACAGAATCAAAACAATCACAAACTAAAAGATGGTTGAAGGCCCACCTGTATCAGAATCACCTGGGAAGCTTATTAAAATACGAGTGTGGGGACCCCACCCAACACATGGGGGATCTGCATTTTAACAGGTACCTAAAGTTTGAGAATCCCTTCATTCAGGTTGACAGCATGGATAGTTTCCAAACCAGACTGATTACAAGAATCACCAAAGAGATTTTTTTTTTTTAAGACAGAGTCTTGCTCTCTGGCTCAGGCTGGAGTGCAGTGGTGTGATCTGGGCTCACTGTAACCTCTGCCTGCTGGGTTCAAGTGATTCTTGTGCTTCAGCCTTCCAAGTAGTTGGGACTGCAGGCACCTGCCACCATGCCTGGCTAATCTTTGTATTTTTAGTAGAGATGGGGTTTCACCATGTTGGGCAGGCTGATGTCAAACTCCTGACCTCAGCCTCCCAAAGTGCTGGTATAATGGGCGTGAGTCACTGCACCTGGCCACCAAAGCACTTTTTGTTTGGGACAGAGTCACGGACTATCGCCTGGGCTGGAGTGCAATGGCGTAATCTCGACTTACTGCAATCTCTGCCGCCCGATTTCCAGTGATTCTCCCACCTCAGCCTCCAGAGTAGCTGGTATTAGAGGTGCCCACCACCACACCCAGCTAATTTTTGTATTTTTAGTAGAAACAGGATTTCACTATGTTGGCCAGGCTGGTCTCAAACTCCTGACCTCACGATCTGCCCGCCTCAGCCTCCGAAAGTGCTGAGATTACAAGCGTGAGCCACCGCACCCATCCCAAAGAGCTTTTTTAAAATATATGTAGCCTGTCCCTTGGTGATTCTGATTCAGGAAGCCGGAGAGCAGAGCTTGGAAACTGCATTTTCACTCACTGCCCTAGTTGCTGCTATTGAACCGTCAGCATCATGGACCAGCATCTTCCTCTACAGACGAGCAGGCTGAAGTCAGGGACACATGATAATCTGTCACCAAGTCTCTTATCTCCTGCCCAGTTAAAGTTGAATTGTGTAACCAAAAAGAGCCATTAAATAATAACAAACATGTTTCCAAACTCTTCTCTTAGTTTGTTATGATGAGATAGTCTTTCACAGTCCTTATTAGAGTTTAGCAGTTTTCTTGGTAGTCATTGTTCATCAAGGAGTCAGAACACAGGTTTTGATTCATTGCATTCTAAGTGTTTTTGTTGTTTTGATTGTAGTGCTTGAAAAATATGATTATGTGTTTCCAGAAAATGGCTTGGTAGCATACAAAGATGGGAAACTCTTGTGTAAACAGGTAGGTACTTTAGTTACTATGTTCTATTAAGTGTATTCTAAAAGGGCATTTCACGTTGAATGCCCCTTTAGAGCATTCTAAAGGGGAGATGAGGAATGAGGTAGAAATGAATCTTCACTCTGTATTCTTTTTTGTTCTGAATGTTGAACTATGTGACTGTTACATATTATAAATTGATAACTAAATTTTTATACTTTTAAAATCAAATATGTCTTTCTTTTTTGTTTTGTTTTTGAGATGGAGTCTTGCTCTGTTGCCCAGGCTGCAGCTGGAGTGCAATGGCACAATTTTATCTCACTGCATCTTCCGCCTCCCTGGTTCAAGCAATTCTTGTGCCTCGGCCTCCCCAGAAGCTAAGATTGCAGGCACATGCCACTATGCCCAACTAATTTTTGTATTTTTAGTAATGTCTGGGTTTTACCATGTTGGCCAGGCTGATCTCTAATTCCTGACCTCAAGTAATCCATCCACCTTGACCTTCCAAAGTGCTAGGATTACAGACATGAGCCACCGTGCCCAGCCTTTTCTTTCTTTTTAAAGGATGGGTCTTGCTGTATCACCCAAGCTGGAGTACAGTGGTGCAATCCTAGTAGCCTAGAGCTCCTGGGCATAGGTGATCTCCCTGCCTCGGTCTCCCAAGTAGCAGGGACTAAAGGCACGTGCCACCTTGCCTGGCTTTAAATCTATTAATAACATTTCTGGGATGATAAAACTAGAGCAGGCTGCCTCTAAGAATTTTTTTTTTTTTTTTTTTTTGTTTCTTTTTTTTAAAAAGTGTCCCTCTTTTGCCTAGGCTGGAGCGCAGTGGCTCAATCTTGGCTCTCTGTAACCTCTGCCTCCTGGGTTTAAGTGATTCTTCTGCCTCAGCCTCCCTAGTGGCTGGGATTACAGGCATCCACTGGCAGGCCCAGCTCATTTTGTATCTTTAATAGAGACAGGGTTTCACCATGTTGGCCAGGTTGGTCTCGAAGTCCTGACTCAAGTGATCCACCCGCCTTAGCCTCCCAAAGCGCTGGGATTACAGTTGTGAGCTGCCACACCTGGCCACTATAAGCATTTTTAAGAGATTGTGTGTAGCTCTTAGTAGTAGTAAGCTCATTCTGTTCAGACATAAGAGAATGCTGAAGTGGAACAAATATATTTCCTAACAATATCTGGAGATATTTTAATTGAATGAAAGTGGCAGCAGTAAGCTCTTTGGGCCTTACAGGAAGCATTTGAACAATAATGAGTAAAAAATCTTGGGTAATGAAGCGGAAAGTGCTTTTGACTAAAGCCTTTCTGGCTTGCCTAATGTTTTTGACCAGAGAAATAAGAGAAGGAATTAAACAGGCAGTGGGGCATGTCACCATCACTGCTACATCAGCCTAGTGATTTTCAACAATAGTGGCTGAAGAGCCTGGGTTTGTTGTAAAGCTGTTTTGAAAATGCTCCTGCTGAATGAAATAACTCAAGTATTTTCTTTGTCTAGAATATTCAAAGTCATCTGGGTGAGGCCCTAATCCAAGATTTAATCAACTACTGTCTGAGCTACATTGCAAAAATCAAACTCCCAAAGAAGAGGTGGGTTTGCCTTTAACAAAGAGATATCACTGGAATATAGCATAGTGTCATGTGGTGGGTTAATGTGGGCATTCTCCAAATAGGATTCTAAGAATCACCTAGAGTTTTAAAAACAAAATCTGATATTTAGCCCACCCCTTGGCAATTCTGATTCAGAAAGCCTGAGAGCCAAGCTTAGAAATCCACATTTTCTCTGGCTGCTCTGGTGCTACGGGTTCACAGCAGGGTTTAGTGGCCACCGTGGGCCGGCTAATTTAAATCCAAAGCCCAGCAGTTAGTAAGGAATAATTGGAAACAGTCCACAAAGCCAACAGTATAAGAATGATTGCATAAATGATGGCTTGTCCCCATGATGGAGATTTATACAGCCATTGAAGACTGTATGCTTTCAAAGGCTGTCAGTGAGAGGAAACAGCAGTGAAACAGCATGTGTACAAAAAGCAACAGAAACTAGATCTGGATGTCTCAGACAGGAAGCCTTTGGGCCAGATCCATGTAAAACACAAATCTGGTTGGCCCGTGATGTTAAAGAAAATCTGGATGAATTGCCATCATATAAAAGTTCAATTTTACATTTGTTTTATTATTTATTTTTGAGGCAGAATCTCACTTTGTGACCCAGGCTGGAGTACAATGGCAGGATTTTGGCTCACTGCAGTCTCCACCAGGTTTAAGTAATCCTTCTACCTCAGCCTCCCGAGTAGGTGGGATTACAGACACATACCACTGTGCCCAGCTAAGTTTGTTTTGTATTTTTAGTAGAGACAGGGTTTCATCATGTTGGCCAGACTGGTCTCAAACTCCTGACCTCAAGTGATCCACCCATCTCAGCTTCCCAAAGCGCTGGGGTTATAGGTGTGAGCCACTGTGCCCGGCCCTATTTTATGTTTTAAACATCTGGATTTCTGGCTTCTGTTGACAAATTTGAGACCTGGCTACTCTGGGTCCCCATTCCCCCCTGGCAGCTGTCACCTGAACAGCTGCCACCTGACCCATGGACATGGGTCCAGTCTTTCACAGACTGCCTCTCTAATTTTCTGACTCCGTAGGCTTGCTTTCTTTTTTGAGGGGGTGGAGGAGAGAGAGGATCTCACCCTGTTGCCCAGGCTGGAGTGCAGTGGCATGATCATAGCTCACTGCAGCCTCAACCTCCTTGCCTCAGCTGATCCTCCCACCTCAGGCTACTGAGTAGGTGAGACTACAGGCTCATGCCACCACGCCTGGCTAATTTTTTATAGAGACAGGGTCTTGCCATGTTGCCCAGACTTGCCTCAAACTCCTGGCCTCAAGCCATCCTCCCACCTCAGTCTCCCAAATGTTGGGATTACAGTCATTAGCCACCACCCCTGGCTTCCATCAGTGTTTGATTTGGGGACCTATCTTCTTCCGTGGGTGCTATTATTATCTCAATTCCATTTTAAAAATAATAGTAATAAAAATAATGATGAACATAATGCCCACAGTAAAAAGACTGGCAGGAAATAGACCCAGATGCTAACAGTGGCTGTTTCTTGATGGTGAGGTTACAGATGATTTCTTTGAAATACTTCTCATTTTTTCCCCCCAGTTTTCAATGCTTATTATGTTAACACCTTAATCATCAGGGTCGGAAACATGTTTTAAGTGGCAGTTCAATTTCAGGACGGTCTGTACTTCAGAGGCTGCTTCACACTATTAGGATTCATATTCATAACCCGAGTGCCTCCTGCTCAGCACCTCCAGCCAGAGTGCAGGAACGTCCCTTAGCCCAAGAGGAGGCCTGCATGAGACGGGCTGGACCTGCATTGGTGATTGTTGCAGCTGGGTGCTGGGTACATGAGGACTCGTCCTATGCTGTTTACTTTTGTGTGTGAGAGAAATTTTCCATGGCAAAAAGATAAAATATGCAAATACCCCGGTTCAGCTCCATTTTTACTTTGGGCTGAGCACTAAGGGAGGATTAAAAAAAAGAAAAAAGGCATAATCCTGTCCTCAAAGAGTGTATCATCTAGCAAGGGAGAAGAATGTGGAGAGCCATAATTCCAGAATAGAAGAGACCTGGTGAATCCAGGAGGCACAACTGAGACCCGCCTTGACCCACATCTTTCCACATTTGCCTGACAACACAAACCACATGCCCCATGCTGGCCAGGCAGATGCATTAAGACTCAGAGAGCCCAGGTCTTGGTGGAACTGAATGTTTGGTAAACCACTTTCATTTTTTTTTTTTTTTTTTTTTTTTTTTTTGAGATGGAGTCTCACTTACTTGTCCATGCTGGAGTGCAGTGACACGAGCTCAGTTCACTGCAACCTCCACCCCCCCAGGTTCAAACGATTCTCCTGCCTCAGCCTCCCTATTAGCTGGGATTACAGGCACTGGCCACAATGCCTGGCTAATTTTTGTATTTTTAGTAGAGGTGGGGTCTCACCACGTTGGCCAGGCTGGTCTCGAACTCCTGGCTTCAAGTAATACACCCACCTTGACCTCCCAAAGTGCGGGATTACAGGTCTGAGCCACCACGCACAGCCAGGGAAGCCTTTCTAAACTATCAACTTCTCTGTGCCTTGGAAATGAGAAGAAGAATATGTCCTTGAGTAGGGGGAAATGAATTGAGCTCTTTTTCTGATCATTAGGACCCACAGCCCTAGGGTCACCCAAGACATGGTCACCAGTCCCCTAGTGCCTTAGTGCACATGCAGAAGTGGTAGAGGACAGGCTGGGCCTCCGCCATCTCTGGGACAGCCTGGACATGGGATTGAGAGAGATTTTTAAGCTTGCAATTTTTGTTACATCATTTGCCTCTTTCTCTGCAATTTGAGCACAGCCGGGGAGAGGATCCCGCTGATTGAGATTCTGCTGTTTTTGCTTTGATGTGTATTCACTGCTTCCCAGTTTACAAAGTACTTTTACATAACTGGCACATTTGATTTTCACGAGGCCCTTTGGAGGTAACCAGAGCGAGTGCCGTTAGCCTTTCCGTAGGTGAGTAAGAGGCAGCTTGGAGAGGTGCCCAGGGCCACACGGCCTCCTAAGAGGCCACACCAACATGGAATCGGGTCCTCAGCCCTGCCTGTGGCATGTGGCCTTTCAGATGGCCAGTGCCTGGAGATCAAGTCTATGAGAGTAAAATAGTAGAAAAAAAATCAGGGAAAATATTTCCTAGGGTTCCCAGGCATCAGCGTTTAGAATTAGAAGATACTTTTCACTGCATAGTTTGTCAGAGAACGCTTAAATTTCATCACTCAGAATGATACTTAGCTTACAAGCTATCTGAACTTTTAAGAAACTGGGTGGTGGGGTTTTGTTTGTTTGTTTTGGTTGTGGGTTGTTTGTTTTTGAGACAGAGTCTCTGTCGCCCAGGCTGGAGTGCAGTGGTGCAATTTCAGCTCACTGCAACCTCCGACTCCCAGGTTCAAGCAATCCTCCTGCCTCAGCCTCTTAAGCAGCTGAGACTACAGGCATGCACCACCATGTCTGGCTATTTTTTGTATTTTTGGTCGAGACAGGGTTTCATCATGTTGGCCAAGCTGGTTCCTCAAGGAATCTGCCCACCTCAGCCTCCCAAAGTGCTAGGATTACAGGCGTGAGCCAAACTCAAACTGGAAACAGTGGGGGGAAAAAAACGTTGTTTTCTGAGACAAGAGTCTCCCCCTGTTGGCCAGGCTGTAGTGCAGTGATGCGATCTTGGCTCACTGCAACCTCCATCGCCCAGGCTGAAACGATACTCCTGCCTCAGTCTCCCAAGTAGCTGGGAATACAGGCATGCACCACTGTGCACGGCTGATTTTTGTATTTTTTGTAGAAACGGAGTTTTGCCATGTTGCCCAGGCTGGTCTCAAACTCTTGAGCTCAAGGCATCCACCTGCCTTGGCCTCCCTAACTGCTGAGGTCACAGGTGTGAGCCACCACACGCAGTCAAAAGAACATCTTTAGACGTCTTCATTTGAAGTGTCTAAACTAAGGTTCTCATTTTCTGTGATCAAGTCAAACGTTTAGGAGCTGTCTGCCGCTGGGCAAATTGAATTTCCTTAGTTATTACTGAGGCTCATTGGACAATTCGCAGAACTTTTTTCTGTGTAGCTATGCTTAGTACTGCCAGTCTATTCAGGAGGTCAGTAGCAAAATAGGTGTCTGGTACATATATTTTCAAACTCCTCAGGGAGCTGACTGCTGTTGCCAGTGCTGGAATTCATTTTCATAGCTCTTTATTAACCATAAAATTATCTGCCCAGTAGCAGCACTATCCAACAGAAATAGAAAGTGAGCTGTGTATAATTTTCAATTTTCTGTAGCCATATTTTGAACAAAAAGGGGTGAAATGAATTTTAATATTTTGTTTAGCCCAATATATCTAAAATATAACCTTTTTCTTTCTTTCTTTCTTTTTTTTTTTTTTTTTTTTTTTTTTGGGAGACAGGTTCTCACTCTGTCATTCACTCTGGAGTGCAGGGACTTGATCTCAGCTCACTGCAACTTTTGCCTCCAAGGATAATGCAATCCTGTGTCAGCCTCCCGAGTAGCTGGGATTGTAGGCATGCGTCACCATGCCCAGCTAATTTTGTGGTTTTTGTAGTGACAGAGTTTCACCATGTTGTCCAGGCTCAAAACATAACCATTTTAACACAAAGTCAATATACAACATGACTGACGTGATTGCATTCCTTTTTCATAGTAAGTCTTTCAAATCTAATCTCAGTTTCAGATTAGCCACATTCCAGGTCTAAATAGTCACCGTGGTTCGTGGCTACCGTACCACACAGCACAGAGCTGAGAAACATTGACCCCACCAGCCTCTGCTTTTTAGACTTTCCCGAGATTTTAGGCTCTTTATTTATGATGTTGCCTGAATAAATAATGTGTTTTGGGGAACCTCTGTCACCCTTTCATTCCCAGGGGTACTTTCATTGAATTCCGAAGTGGGATGTTAAATGTGTCCCCTATTGGAAGAAGCTGCAGCCAAGAAGAACGCATTGAGTTCTATGAACTCGATAAAGTAAGTCTTTCTGAAATATCTTTGGTGAATGGCTGGGTTTATGAAAATAAGATAAGACATGGCCCGATGTGGTGGTTCACGCCTGTAATCCCAAAACTTTGGGAGTCCAAAGCAGGAGGATCTCTTGAGCCCAGGAGTTCAAGACCAGCCTGGGCAACATAGTGAGACCTCATCTCTACAAATAATTTTAAAAAAAAATTAGCCGAGCTTGGTGGCTTGCATCTGTGGTCCCAGCTATTTGTTTGGCTGAGGTGAGAGGATCACTTGAGCCTGGGAGGTTGAAGGTGCTGTGAGCTGTGATCATGCCACTGCACTGCACTCCAGCCTGGGTGACAGAGTGAGACCCCATCTCAAAAACTAAACCAAATAAGTAAATGAGATACTCACCTTGTGGCCAGTAGTTAAAAGTATGCTTTCTAAACTGCAATACAAGAGATGGTATCGTTTTGTTTTTCCCAGAAAGAAAATATAAGACAAAAGTTTGTAGCAGATCTACAGAAAGAGTTCGCGGGAAAAGGCCTCACATTTTCCATAGGTATTGTATATATTGTCTGTGTTCCGGACTTGGATACCCATTTCCCAGAGTGTGTTGTGAGCCAGTAAGCTGTTGATAATGAAGTATGCACAGTTTTAGGTGGGCAGGAAGATTACATGAGCAGTCCAACCTGTAGACAAAAACCAGCCACTCTCTTTTCTGCATAATCAGCAATAATAGGACTTGCCTAGTCAGGAAACAGCTTCCAGACTGTTGGGTTTGGTCTAAATTCTTACCCAACAGGGTTCCTCCTACTGCACTTCTCTGGTCAAAAGAAGAGCGCTTTGATTACTAGAGTAGGAATTTCAGTCAGACGCAGTGGTTCATGCCTGTAATCCCAGCACTTTGGGAGGCCGAGGTGGGTGGATCACCTGAGGTCAGGAATTCTAGACCATCCTAGCCAACCTGGTGAAATCTCATCTCTACTAAAAATAGAAAAATTAATATGGTGGTGTGCGCCTGTAGTCCCAGCTAGCTACTGAGGAGGCTGAGGCAGGAGAATTGCGTGAACCCAGGAGGCAGAGGTTGCAATGAACTGAGATCGGGCCACTGCACTCCAGCCTGGCGACAGAGCAAGACTCCATCTCCAAAAAAAAAGGAACTTGCCACACCTTTGGGTGGAAGAAAAGCACAATAGTGAACTCTGTAAGAGTGACATGGAATTGAACCCCTCAAGTAAACTAGACTGATGTTTTGGAATCATGTAACGTTTCAACAGCAAGGATGTTTGAACAGCAAGGAACCATAGGAGCCACTTGGGTTGCTTTTATAGATCAAGAAACTGAGGCCCAGAAAGGAGAAGAGACTTGTCCAAGTTCACACAACTTGTTTACATAGCCCATGTGTGAACATTTCTGGTGTCTAATGCAGAGTTCTTCCTGCTACATGGACGTCTCAGGCATGTCTTCTGTTAGAATATGTCTGTCAGATGCTTCACACACCAATGTCTCTTGTCAGTGCAAATGAGTCATTGCTCAAAGCCTCCTCTTTTTACTAGCTTTCATAAAGGTAGAGGTTGTAGGAACACTGGAATGGCAAAGGGATTATATTTAACAGATGAGTGGGTGGGTTGTTCTCGTGAACTGGGAGATGGACATCTTTCTGACAAAGCTTTGAAAGGGTTTTTGTTGCCCATGACAGCTGCCTATAAATCACCTTCAGTGAAGATTTTCGTTTTTCCTCCAAAATATGCCAGATGCAGCCTGCTTCTAGGTATTTTCCACTGAACGTGTGTTAGAGCTTGAGATAAGCACCGTGGAGTGAGGCTGCTATCAGATTTTTCATAAGCATGCTTCATTTAAATCACATGCTTGACAGGGCGCTTAAATGCAAATGCATTTCTCCCTCGGAGTTGGCACTCTGTGTCTCAATTTTAGACCAAGGTGAAATAATGCTGGAAAAAAACATAATGTAGAATGAATTTCTAGAGCCTGTCCATGAAGTAGTCCAAGTAGCAAACTAGGGTACTGAAAATCAACCTTGGCAATCCACTAACTGACAAAGAGTACATTGTTTTTTTCGGTGACGTATCATTAGCCTCTCTTTCACCTTTTGCTCTTGTGTCCCCCATCTCCACCCGGCAGGAGGCCAGATCAGCTTTGATGTCTTTCCCGATGGATGGGACAAGAGATACTGCCTGCGACACGTGGAAAATGACGGTTATAGGACCATTCACTTCTTTGGAGACAAAACCATGCCAGTAAGTAGGGAACTGTTTGTGCAGTTTCGCTGTTCCATTGGTCTTGACGGGGAAAATTGACAAATGGGCTGTTTTTCCCACACCCGCACTTGACCCGCCGGCCCTGCTCAAAGTGAGCAGTGGCTTCCGTCCTGGAGATGGGGGGCATTGAGCCTCCTTTCCCTCTGAGCTCAGACCCCCGACACCTCCATGGAGGCGAGGGTCACACTGTGTGTTAGTCGATCCTTTTCAGTTTGGCTTTGGAGTTAAACGTTGGCCACCCCATGTGCCTTCTAGATCACAAGTCCCCGGTGCTGCCGTCAAGCCCTCTGCATTTCAAAGCTCTGGCTGTTTCCATCTTTCTTTTCTACTGTATTTGTTCCCCTGAAGCATTCATTTGAAGTTGAACGTGGAGGGCCATGAACTATGGGAGGACAGGGAATGATCTCATGAGCTTGAAACTCAGGAGAGGGCATCAGAGACAGTGAAGAGGCTGAGTGAGTCCCAGACATCGCACACAGTGGGTACTTGGAGCTGCCCCCAAGGGATGCCAGAAATCCCGAGTCCAGGACCAAATCTAAACTAGGAACGGAGAGCAGAGCCCAGTGTTGAAGGCCGGGGCCAGCAGGAGGAATACATAGAAGAAATGTCCCCAGACGTCCTCTCACTGGGACAAGGTGGATCCCCAGCAGGTCAGAGAGGCATTGCTGCCATCAGGGGCTCAGCAGCAGTTGTTCACCACCCAGCTTAGGGCCAGCTCCTTTTTTTTCTTTTGAGACCGTGTCTCACTCTGTCACCCAGGCTAGAGTGTGCAATGTTGTAATCTTGGCTCACTGCAACCTCTGCCTCCCAGGTTTAAGTAATTCTTGTGCCTCAGCCTCCTGAGTAGCTGATACTACAGGCATGCGCCACCACACCTGGCTAACTTTTGTGGTTTTGGTGGAGATGGGGTTTCATCATGTTGGCCAGACTGATCTGAAACTCCTGGGCTCAAGCCATCTACCCGTTTCAGCCTCTCAAAGTTCTGGGGTGACAGACGTGAGCGACCACACCAGGCCCCATCACCTTTTCAGTTCCTCTCATTGTCTGGGCCCCTCTGCCTCCCTCCCACATGCAGCCTGGAAGTGTTCATTACCTTGCCATCAGCAGGCCCCTTTCAGGCTCTCTCGCCATCCTGCACCCAGCAGGTGCATCATAAATGCTGCGTATTCAGAGTTTTTCATCCCTTTGATCTCTGGTCCACTCCAAAATCCCTGCTGCTCTGCTAAGATCTGCCCATGAAAGGTGTGCCTTTCAGCAGGGTCCCCACGGCACAGTCTTCCAGCATGAGGGGTACTTGGGGATAGTAGAAGCTTGTCTTGCTTTCAGAATGATAAAACTGGAACCCATAAAGGGCAAGCGATTTGCCCAAGATCACACAGCTAATGACAGAGCTGGTGGCGCCAAAAGAAGTCTGCCTGTTCTTTGTATGTTTTAAATGGCTTTGTTGAAGTATAATTGTTAAAAGCTGCACATTTTTAACATTCAGTATCATGAGTTTAATCATTGTGCCCCTTTGGTTTTGGGGTGGTTTGGGATTTTTTTTTTTGTTGTTGCTCTTGTTATAAGAACACTTAACATGAGATATTCCCTCTTATTGTGAACTATAGGCACTTCTGTTTGTCCAGCAGATCTGTCGAACTTACACATCTTACATAACTGAAACTTCACACTCATTCAACAAGTGCTCTCCATCTCCCTCCTCCACCACCCAGTCCCTGGTAACCACCGTTGTTTTCTCTGCTTATATGACTTTAGCACTTTGAGGTATCTGATACAAGTGGAATCATGCAGTATTCATTCTTCCTTGAGTGGCTTATTTCACTCAATATGTCTTCTCGGTTTACCCATGCTGTCACAAATGGCAAGATTGCCTTCTTTTTTAAGGCTGAATAATGTTTCATTGTATGAATATACTACATTTTCTCTCTCTCTTTTTTTTTTTTTTTTCTTGAGGGAGTCTCGCTCTGTCACCCAGGCAGGAGTACAGTGGTGCTACCTTGGCTCACTGCAACCTCTGCCTCCTTGGTTCAAGTGATTTTCATGCCTCAGCCTCCCGAGTAGTAGCTGGGATTACAGGAGCCTGTGACCACACCCAGCTAATGTTTGTATTTTTAATAGAGACAGGGTTTTACCATGTTGTCTACGCTGGTCTCAAAATCCTGGCCTCAAGAGGTCCATGTGCCTCAGCCCCGCAAAGTGCTGGGATTATAGGCACGACCTGTTGCGCACCACCAGAATATACTCTATTTCCTTTCTCCCGTCTTCTGTCAGTAGACACATGAGTTTCCATTTCTTGGCCATTATGAATAATGTTTCAGTGAACCTGGGAGTACAGATACCTCTATGAGATCCCAACTTCTTCTTTTGGCTGTCTACCCATGGATTAAAGACTTAAACACAGGACCTGAAACTGTAAAACTCCTAAAAAAAAAAAAAAGAAAAATAGGGAAAAGGCAGTGATCTTTTGGATGTGACACCAAAAATACAGGCAACAAAAAAAAAGCAAAACAAGTGGGACAACGTCAAACTAGAAAGCTTCTGCACAGTGGGAAATAAGCAGACTGAACAAGCAACCTGCAGAGGGGAAGAGAACATTTGTAAACCATTTTTCTGATAAAGGGCTAGTATCCAAAATGCATAAGAATCTCCACCAACTTGGTGGCAAAAAAATAGCCCAATTTAAAAAATGAGCAAAGGACTTGAATAGACACTTCTCCAAAGAAGACATACATATGGCTAATGTGTATATGGAAAAGACTCAACATCAGTGTTTAAGGAAATGCAAATCAAAATCACAATGAGATAAACCCCACACCCTCCAGGATGGCTTTTTTTTTTTTTTTTTTTTTGAGATGGAGTTTTGTTCTATTGCCCAGGCTGGAGTGCAGTGGTGCGATCTTGGCTCACTGCAACTTCTGCCTCCTGGGTTCAAGCGATTCTCATATGTGAGCCTCCCGAGTAGCTGACAGGCGCCCACCACTGCACCCAGCTAATTTTTTATTGTTAGTAGAGACTGGGCCATGCCTGGCCAGCCTGGTCTCAAACTCATGACCTCAAGTGATCTTCCCACCTCGACCTCCCAGAGTGCCAGGATTATAGGCATGAGGTACCACACTCAGCCAGGATGCCTATTTTTTTTTTATTTTTGTTTGTTTATTTATTTTTTTGAGATGGATTTTGCTCTTGTTGCCCAGGCTGGAGTGCAATGGTGTGATGTCAGCTCACTGCAGCCTCTGCCTCCTGGGTTCAAGCAATTCTCCTGCCTCAGCCTCCCAAGTAGCTGGGATTACAGGCATGCGCCACCACACCCAGCTAATTTTTTTGTGTGTGTGCATTTTTGTATTTTTAGTAGAGATGGGGTTTCTATATGTGGATCAGGCTGGTCTCGAACTCCCAACCTCAGGTGATCCACCTACCTCGGCCTCCCAAAGTGCTGGGATTACAGGCATGAGCCACTGCGCCCAGCCCAGGATGGCTATTTTTTAAAAAATAAATGTTGGCAAGGTGTAGAGAAATTAGAACTCTTGTGCAGTGTTGTAGGAAATGTTAAATGTCATAGCCACGGTGGAAAACTAAGTAGTCGTTCCTCAAATTAAAAATAGCACTGCCATATGATCAGCGGTCCCACTTATAGATATATATCCAAAATAAGGGATGAAATTAGGTTCTCAAAGAGACACCTGGTCTTTAAAAAAAAATAAAGACAGGGTCTTGCTCTGTTGCCCACGCTGTACTGAAACAGTCATTGGGCATCAGCCTCCCAAGTAGCTGTGATTACAGGCGTGCACTACCACAACCAGTGATACCTGCTGTTTAAATGAGTGTGCTTTCCACTACAATAAGCTCTCTCTCAGTGGTGTAGAAAGATCTTGTTGTAAATCCCAATGAACTGGGTACTTGGAATACGTGTAGCATTCAAGTTTTTTCTTGCTGACAGTTAGAAATGGTTTTCTAACCACATCCTTTTGTTGAAAGGCTTTTGATGCAGAATGCTGTCAATGCAGGCTTTGAAAAAGATCACTATCTGACTCCATGTCTTTAAAAAAATTAAGCTAATGAAATGACACCCAGGATCTAAGGAATGCCTGGAAGCTTCCTCAGTCCTTCTCTAGTTTTGTACCATTTCTTAACAGAGAGGAGAGCTGTTGTGATACACTACAGCAGATTGTTCTGTCATGATGACATTGTTGCTTCATGTAAATAGCCATCTAGAGGCCTCAGTGGGGACTTTGCAGAATGGAACGCAGTTCTTGGATAATCAGAAAATAACTTCTTTTGGGAATTCTTCATTTGGGAAATGGAGGGTTTTCTATTCTGTTTAACCATTGCATTACCATGCTTAGATTCTATTTTAAAAATCTTACGTACTTTTAAAAAATGAATATTTAATGGAAGGCTTTTTCCCGATTGTAAATTAAATTGTGCATTCATTATAGAAAATTAGAGAATCTGTGAAGAAGAAAAGGAAAGCCACCTGTAATCATCCAACAACATCCCAGGCTCTCTAGCTATATGGTCCCAAAAGTGGGATCCTTACCTGTTATTTTTGTTTTAGTTTTCTTTCTCTTAGCATATTTTATTTTTCTCAAGTTAGTGACTATCCTTTGCAGAGAAGATTTTTAATGGCTGTATAAGATTCTCTCATTAGGCATAGTTTACCCACGTCCCTCACAGAGGCACATTGGGTGGTTTAAGAGCTTTTGCTCTTATAACTGATGCTGTGGTGAACATTCTCGAACAATTGTTTGCCCCCTTCTCTGAGGCTTTTCGTCAGCGGTTTTCTACAAATGGAAATCAGCAGTCCAACCATCTAAACCTTCAAACAACCTCTTAGTTCTTGACATGCTAGGCACAGAGCAATCCAAATACTAGCCTTACACTTTGCATTTTCAGTGATAGACATTTAGAAAGCTGGGGCTTTTTCCTTTCCTAATGAAGCTTACTGCTTTTGTTGGCTTCCAGGGAAATGGCCCTGAGCT